TATGCAAGGGACCTGAGTGGGTGGGGGGCTTCAAATTTTCTCCAAGGGCAGATCAGCAGTCTGGGTTTAGACTGAATTAAAGTGATACAGAATCACAGCCCTAATCCTTGAGTGTGGTACATGAAGCTTAAATATATACCAGTACCTGTGGGGACAGAGCATCATCAGTAAATTAAATTTTCCCTTAAATTTATGACTATTTTCCCTCCCACTCTCCTTTGTGGCAGGGAAGACACTGCCAATTTTTCCTCTCCTTCTTCCATGCAGAGTAAGTGAGGCATCCTGGTGACAAAAAGAGAGCACATCCAGGAATGGGAAATGCTTCTGCATGCATCCAGAAGAATCTTTTAGAGCAAATATAACTGCAGGACGTGTAATGGTCACTACTGCAAAGGCTGATGGTTGCAGCTCTTGGGCATAAATGATGGTCAGTGTATGGTAATGGCAGCTTTTCCAGATCTGTGTTCAGACAGCACTGCAAAACCTGACATTGCTTCCCTGACAGACCCAAAAGTTTCTGAGCGTAGGACAGGCAGCTAAAGCAGCTTTGGGTTATTTTCAGATGTGCTTCTTGTGAGGAGCACGCTGAGTAACAGCACAGAAAGCCCTTCCTCTCTAGGTCACGACTGCTCTGATGGGCTCGGGTCACCTGGGAGCCTTCTGCTTCTACAGGAACGGGAGAAATATCAGAGCCTTTCTGAGAGGTTTGTTTCTTTTCTGTTTGCAGTTAGTAATTAATGGTATTGAGGGATGTGTCAGAACAGTCAGGAATCAGAGCAGCATTTGGGAAATGATCACTGGGTCTGACTCACAGGATTTGTCGTGGTGCACAACACCACAAGCTGTACTGATGTACTGCACAAAGGCAGGAGGATTATGGGTGTAAATAACCCCGATGTCTACTGAGCTTTACACTCTCTTACAGAACAGTTGATCAGAAATGCACTGTTTGCCAAAAACTAAGTACTCACCTGGTGTAACAGAAGTTATTCAAGGAAACGGGAGTGTTGTGGAACTCCTGCAAAAAGGACTGTGTTCCCAGTGATAGTGGCTTTCTTGGGATCCTGTTAAGGGGCTGAGTTATTTTTTCTGTTATTTTTTCAACCTGTTTTCTGCAAAATCCAGCATTTGGTACACTGGAAATCCAGTTTGACATAAAAGAGTTCATTGTGTCCCTGAAGAACCTTCCAGCATAAAGGCCTTCCAGTGGGAGAAGGTGTTACTGGTTTTTGTTGTTCAGTTGGTCAGGGGTTTTTTGTTTGCTTTTATGTTTTGTTATAAAGGACAATGGAGCAAGTGCAACACACTGTATGTTGGGTTTGGAACTGGAGAAATCTTCTGGCCCTTTTTACTGTGGTATCAGCTGCTCCTGCCATGTGATAAGGCTGTTACAAATAAGAGTTGCAGGATCCTTGCAGCCAAAAGCGTGGGGAAGACTATTTTATTGCTGTAATTTAGTTTGCAGGAGTCAGATCACAGCCACTTCCTACAGACTCCTTTGGATGCTTTAGTGTGAAATGCACTCAGGTGGAAAGCTCTTATACCTACAGATCTTTGACGTGGGGAATTAATGGAAGAGTTAGTTGGGAGGAAAACAGGATGTCAGAGCTGCCCTCAAATCTGCTGCTGATTACTGGCACATTTCTATGTCCAGCAGCTGCCTGCCAGCTCATTCTAGCAGAGTCTAGTCTAGAACTGAAAAACCACATCCTTCTTTAAGCTACTGAAGGGGTGGATGAACTGCAGTCTAAATAGGTGGTTGCAATTTCTGTGGACAAGACGGTGAATTCTGTCAGCAAGAAATGACAGGTTTGCTTTGCAGTGATATTGCCTGTTATAGAGAGACAAACCTTTGTCCTGGGAAAAGGAATGGCAGTGAGCAGCTGGGCAGAGCTGTGCCCGTCTCCTCTCTTTGATCTCTCTCCATTTAAGTCTCTGCCATGGAAATTAGGTTGTTGCTTCACAGCAAATGGCACCTGGGGCCCAACATCACAACCCTTCCAGTGCCTTGCAGGGCTGGTTTTTTAGGTTAGAATGAAGTCACCTGCTCTGTAGGTATTGTTTCAAAATTTCTTATTTAATTGGATGAGCGTCATAAGAAGCTTTTTCTGTCAAAATAATTCTGAGTTCCAGATCACTGTGAGCCACAGTGGTGACAATGAAGTGCTTTTCTATGTACCTGTAATAAATACTTCTTATTTGTCACCTTAGTATCGAGTCCCTGTTGTAGCACTGTTATTCCCAGTACTAAAGTAACTTTAAATTCATATTGTTATGGCTTTTTCTTTTATTACTGTTAACAGGTGTTTATTTTTGTGATATGCTTGTATTTCAGTAACACTTGCCACATTTTTAGATTTGTCTTATGTTTATTGCAAGTAGAAAGGGAACCACCTTTTTTTTTTTTTACAAACATGAGGTTTAAGAGTTATTATTGACAACTGTAGAAGTTCCATACCTTGCCTTTCAGATTGACGTAACAAACTTAGTAAAATAAAAATAAAAAAAATAAAGACCACTTTATTCCAGTCCCTTCCCTCTTTTCCAAAAGAGAACTCCTTGAAGATGCCTAGCTTGGTGTTTGGATTCACAGTCCTGTTGGAGGACACAGAGCAAGGACAGACAAGTCTAATACTGGAGGAAGCAGAGAAGCAAATCTTGGCAGTTACAATAAGCAGGGATTGTCAGCTCCTGTGTTTTGAATGTTGCCCACAGTGGTTGAGTCGTGCCAGTGATGAGTGCTTTATTTTCTTGAAGACTAGAACACCATTTCAGTATTCTAGCTTTTTAAAAATAAGTCAGTCCTTTGATGGATATTTGATTGGAAAGGTTTGCTTTCTTTTAAGTGCTTTTAAGCTGGTTTTTCTGATGTGTTTAGAGGCATCCTTGTAGCTGCTGTTTGCAAGGGAGAAATCAGCTGCTGGAGAGGGAAATGGCTGTTGCATCTTGAATTACCCAGTATTTATGAAATGTCAGGGTGAGCTGTGGTGAGCAGCTGAAATGGGCTTGGATCAGTGCATATCTAATTTCCTGTGGGGCACAAAATATTGCTGTGCAGTGGGAAAGGATCCGTTCCCTGAGATCCAGAGAAAATGTTCCTGTGCTTCATTTTGTGTGTTCTTTGTGGCACGTCATAATAGTGAGGAGAGAGATTTATTTTCTTCTAGTTTTTGAAATGAATTACCCTCATGGATCTGAAATGGCTCAGTTGATGTGGGTCTGACTGAGGGGCTGACTGCAGCTAAAGCTGGAAAGATGGAGGGGTTGGGGAGGCATCACTTTGTGTGTTACTGGTTTGTTTATGTTCTGCTCTTTAAAACATGATCATCTCCACTTGTAATTGTTGGTACACCAAGTGAGCAGGCAGGAATTTTTGCTAAAGTCACAAAATACAGCTTTTTAATATATACAGGAAGTACACGTGGCCTAATGAGAGGCCAGAATACTCTGTGTTAGTACATAAGATGTGACAAAGTGACCACTTTCTGCCCTGAGCAGTTTATGAATTAGGTGTCAGACTGAACTTCCACGTATGATAAGAATTACATTTTAAAATACCTGATGTTTTCTGTGAACAGCAACTTCCTGATCATCATTTCTGTCCTTTTTCCATGTATGGCACTGGATAGAGGACTGACAGATTCATGGTGAATAGATTGACTGATCTTTGAGCACTGGAATACATGTGTTCCCTCTCCAACCTTTTTGCTCTGTTATTTGACAGAATCTTGCATTCTAGATACTAGAATGCAAGATTGTCCACTAGAATTAAATATTACTGGAATCAGTAAAATTAGAAAATCAGCAGAATTAAATCCAACACACTAATTGCTTCTACACAGGTAATGTTTTACTTCCTAGGCAATTTCTGTCTGTAGTTTGTTTGAGAGCACAAAATTTGAGATCCACTGGTGAGTTTGAATAGGATACCCATTGTGCTTGAAGTGTTTCTATTCCTAGTTTGAGTGAGCATCCCAGTGACAATAAATATGCTAAGATAGTTTGAAAATTTACATCCTGCTTAAGTTGAGGTTTTCTTTACATAGGGCTGTTTTCTCTTGCCTTCTAGGCTGTGCTTTTGCACTCATTCACTGGAATATTTGGACACAGCAAATAAAGGGTGGGATTAACACTTGTTAACTTAGTTCAATCAGTAATTTGAAGTAATGCTGTAGAAACATTTGTGCAGTCTTTGCCCAGTTTGTGCATAAGACTGAGAGAGTTTTATAATTTACTGGTAGTCAGCTTCTAAATATTTAGAAACATTGGTATTTCATGACCTTTGACTGTTGCTTTCCCAGCACTCTTACAAAACTAAACTGGATTCTACTAGCACAGCAAGCAAGCTCCAGAGAGCAAAACTAAGTTTGTGAATGTTGGACTTGCATCTCTCTGTAAAAACATTTGTTTATTGCCTTTAAAGTATCCTGGTTTATGAATAAGTTGTGCCAAGAGTGACACAAAACTATGTGAGACAGTGAAGTGGAAATGCTCTGTGTGCTGGTGTCAGCCAGCACTGGAGCTGTACAAGTAAATCTGTGGTGTCAGTGAGGCACAGAGAGGAAAGGGGCTGTTTTAATTCAGAGGTGAGCTCTCCCAAGGAATCTTTTGTCTGTAGCATCGTAGTTGGATATTGTTTGGCTTTGAAATTCTTTGAGCTGTTAAACAACACATTCTTGCTTAGTGCAGCTGAGTCTATACTGAGCTGTGATCCTGGGATACACTCCCAGTGTTAGTGCCTGGGTTCAGGCCCACAGCTCTGCAGTGCCTGAATGTTCCCTGAATGCAGGTCCTGTGGCCCCGAGGGTGTTGGGAGCAGTTCTGCTGGATGCTGCATCAAAGCCCTCCATTTGCAAAAAGATGGGGAATTTAGCGGGCTCAGACTTGTGCACTGAGAGTAACCATTAGAGCTGCAAGACAGATTTGTGTCTGATGACTTGCATGGATGGAATTGGTTCTTTAAAATTGGTTATTGGCTCTTTGTTTCTGCTTGTTTCCAGGTTGCATGGCCGGTACTATGAAATGGCACCAAACGTTGTGCCCATGGACTACACAAAGGACCCAGATGTCAAACTACCTATGCAGCTCATAATAAACATGCCTGAGCTAAAGGTATCCCTTCTGACTGCTTACAAACTGTGTCTGGACTTTGTAGCTCGTCTGCCAAGTGAGTTTGATATCCTGAAGCAATGTGGCGTGCTGGACTCTTCCCCTTCCTGGCACTGTTCAAGGGCAAAACCAGTCCCAGAAACTGGAAAATGTTTAGGTGGATGTCTTGCTTGCAGAGCTAGTAGGGATAGATGTTAATAGGAAACAAATAGGAAATAAAATCAAATTTAGTAATTTTCCCCATTTGTGTGTATCGGTGCCAGAGAAGGCCGTGGGATTTCTGTGGGAAGAGCTGGTTAGAAATCAGTAGTTCCTATCTCAGTGTGCTTACTGGAGATTTGCAAGAGGTGTGCAGAACATTGCTAAGAAAAAGGAAAGGTTTTCCCCTTTTTTTCATCTGCCTGAGCACAATTGGGAGTTTTCCTTTTTCATGGAGACATTACATGGTAGTTGGTGGAGAGACAGTCCATGAGAGAAGCAGTGGGCATAAAGCAATCAGTGAAAAAAAAATTTGGGGCACTATTTGTTTTTATTCTTGCATCAGTTCAACCATTTAATATGGTTTTAACAGGACAAGTATGGATTTTCAGCATTTATTTTTTCAACAGTTCATTGAATTATGTTGTGTTTGGTCTCATGCTCTGTTTTTTAATGTATGCTAATTAGTTGATGTCTTTAAATTACTGTAATGTGGAAACAACTATTTATTCAATCTGATAATTTCATGAAACATTTTAAGCTTTTTAAGAACAATGCCCTAAAACCCTTGTAATTGGTGGCCTTCCACTTGATTTTAATGATTTAGAAATTCTTCATTAATGCTGTACTTTTTTCCCAAATATCTGGTACTTCACAAGCAGAAGCAGTGCTTTAGAAATTCAGCTGGGGAGGAGGTTAAGTCAACATGAAGAGAAAAACATTTGAATTAGATTTCAAGTTGAAGTTCAAGGAACTCATTGCTCCTTTAGTGCCACTCTTGCTGCATATTTGATTCTGGGAAAATACCATTTATTGAACAAGAAGCACATGTCACTCTAAGGCACGTTTGTTAAAAAGTGTTTGACCAGCATTTCATATAAATGGAAACATTAAAGACACAAGCATTTAATTCAATAGAAGACCTAGGAAAAGTTTTTATCCCTCAGTTATTCTTCAGGTGCCTATGGGCAGCTGAAAGGTTTGTGTTTCTGATGGAACGGAGAAATAATTGAGAATTCTTTTTCACAGCAAGCATGGGCTTCTCCAGCAAATTCCTAATGTGTGTTTATCCCCTTTCTAATGGCATCAGTGTTCCTGAAGGTTTCTGTTCTCATCTCTGGGACCTTGACAGTGCAGTGTGAAACCCTCTGCCACAGGTCTGTGCCTGCTCACAGTTCAGCTGCCAGATGGCTCAGAGCTGCTTTGTGGCAAATCAAGGCTAAGTTTAGAAAAGCCAGTGAGAAATTATGGTCACACACACTCTTTTGGGCTTCAGTCCTAGAGGACTGAACACTTAAGGAGCAGCTTATTCCATGAAAACTTTAGAGATGGAAGACTCCTGTGTTTACAGGACAGCCTGGTGCTTAGGCTGAGATCTAAACCAGGAATTTCACCCTGGAATCTGTTTAGATTGAGATCCAGGAGCACATCTTGCTGCCTTAGTGATCTTAGATGGTGATGACAGACTTCCTGAGAGAATTCCCTGTGTGAGATGGATCATAATCCATCCTCTTGCACCACATCCAGGCTGTGAGGTTGTCTGGCCCTGCTTTAGGAGATGTCTCCAGGGTCATGGAACTTGACTTTACGAAAATAGCAGGACTAATTCAGTGTTAAATTTTATACAGGTTCTCTCTCAGGTCTCATAAGGCTGTGGAAGAACCTTAGAACTGTTGCTGTCAAACCACTCTTTATTTCAGGAAGTGTAGCAGCTCAGAGAGAAAAGTGCTTTTAAGAGCTAGTGAACTTGTTTCCAGTAAAATATCAATAAGAGGAGACTGGACCTTGTTCCATAACTCTTTCAAAGCATTGACACTAAAAGCTATTAAAATGCCACCCAGGGTCTTAGTTACAAACTGGGACCCATCTTGGTCGTCAAGCATTTTGTGATTGACTGTGCAGATGGGGGTGAGAGGAGAGGGTCTTTCCCCAGGAGTTCATTTTTGAAGCACCCTGGGTAGTAACTCCAGCTCCTACAGCAAGAAAAATCATCTTTAACCTTTGCAACTTGCCCAGACTGCCCAACACAAGTCGTTATGGTGTTTGCTTTCTTTGGGAAATTTTCATCAAGGTGAAGACAAAGCCAACATTTAAATCTTAAAATAGAAATAAATGAACTAAATGTCTATTGAATTCTAATAAAATTAGTGCTAATTTCACTGCACCTGGCTTTTTTCATATACACATTACATTTCTGGTTACTGGCAACGTTGAGCTCAATACCATTGCAGGTTCTGACAAATGGATAGAATCAATAATGCACTTTTCTAAATTAGATTCTGCTACTGTAAAGAAAGATCTTTACCTCCTGCATTAATGTTTTGAGCCAGGATTTTTGTGTTTCAAAGAAGAAAAAAATGCCGGTGGTCACTCACTTTAATTGGTCTTGAATTATTCACTAGCTCACGATTCTTAAAAGTTGAAAGTCAGGACAAGAAATAAATAAATAAAGAAGGGACAGATACTTTAAGTGGATTAGTTCTACCATTACACTGAAGTTAACAGAGCTGCTTTACTCCATCAGTGTCACTGCAGCCTCTGCTCTCTCGTTCTGACAATCTTGGTTACACAGCCTGCTGTCTAATAAATTCACTTTGGGGCGTCTGGGCACCTGTGAGATTGCAGGAATTATTATTGCCCAGTTGTAGCCATGGTGTGGCTGTTCAGTGGGAGACCAGGGAAAAAGCACAAGGGATATTCTTCCCCAGCTCCAACTGATCTCACTCACATTGTCCCTTGTCATTTGCCCAGGGCTGTAACCTGGTGACAGAGCACTCTGATTTGGGAGGGAAAGGTGGCCATGCCCATGTCCCCAGTGTACCCAGCTGTGGGTAGTGCAGTGCAGAGCAGTCCTTCTGGTCATACAGGGGCTTCCTGAGGGGAACCATTTCTGTTTCTCTCACTTTACAATCTGTTGCTCTCTGGTTTTTGGCTCACACAGTGACTTCATCGATCCTCGCAGACCTTGTCATTGTCTGCAGTGGGGGCTGAGGTAGTTCATAAATCCACCCACTGCTGAAACAGAGTGGGCAGCAGGCACAGGGATGAGCCAGGAGAGAGGAAGGACACACAGGGAGCAGGGAATCCACCCCACATTTCAGAACTGCTGTTAGCACCCTGGTTTTGGTTAAGTTTAAACACGAATGCACGTGGGCTGCTTCAAAATGAAATAAAAATACTTTATACAATTTGAATGGGATGGGATTTTAGGGATAATTTCAGTGAGTCTTCAGGTTCAAAGCTTTCCATGGTGGGCAATGACACCTGAGGGAGCAGGCTGATGTTCTTCTCGAGCCCCCACCCCTGCTCTGGCCAGTCCTTGCCTCCAGCTCATCCCAACATCCTTGTCTGCATCCCGTGAGTTGTTTCTAGTCAGGATGGGATGCTTTACTCCTTTCAGACCACTCTTCTTGCTTCTCTGAAGCCCCATTTTAACTGTGGCTCTCCACTGGATGTGCTCCAGGTGTCATAAGTGAGGGCCACGTTCCCTCTGGTGAGCCCAGACCTGCACCTTCCCGATGCTCTCCAGCTTTGTCTGCACTTCCTGGCTCAGGGAATCAGTTTTTGTCACAGTGCCTTATGTTCCCACAAGACACCATTATGTTCTGTAATATTGAAGCAATTCTGTCTCCAACCACAGTCTTTGGTTATTTGGCTGTTGTAGCTTCAGTAAACAGTCATTGCTGAACTGTCTTATGTTTCTGCTTTCTGACAGAGCGATGTGGTCTTTTTTTAAGACATAAACATATCAATTTAGCTGTATTTTAGCCTTGGTTTCTGCAGGGATTTCTTAAGCAGGCACTGCAGAGAAGTTTGATGACATTAATATAATCATATACACATAAAACCCACATTATTGATTTTGAGGAGGAAGAAAATGAAGGAAAAAAACCCAAGAAACTTGCTTTTATCTGCTCCAGGGATAATTTGCTGTTGCTAATGATGCTTCCTTTCCAAAGTACCAGACTTTCCTGTGGAGCTTTGGTAATGAACAATTTTGCCATTTTTACACTAATGTTTGTCTGATAATGTCTCTACTTTTTTTTTTTTCCTTAGGAATAACTCCTGAAATTTGAGAAAGGTTTGCTTTTGATCAGTTCTGCACAAGTCCTCATTAAAGCATCCAAAGGGACTCTGACTTTCAGTAGTCTGCAAAGCAGACTGGTTTGTGCATTTAAATATATCCTCTAAAGTCAGTGGGGACTTTGATTCAAACACAAAAGAGAAAATCACCATTTTCTTTCTGTGAATATAAAAATTAAGAAGCATTTTGTGACGACTTTTCAGCATCTCCAGTTTAATTATCTTGACCTATCTCAGAACTTTGCTTGCAACATCTTATTTCCAAAATGCAGTCCATTTGTGGGAATAGGACAGAGTGCTTGGAATGAATTCCTCAAGCTACAAAACAGAGCAAAGGGCCATGGCAGTGCTCTCCTGGAGCCTGGGATGGGAATCAGAGGACAGAGGATTTCGCTGCAAGCTCAGGAATAAACCCTATTAATAGTTTCTTAGAAGACTAATGGCTGTGTGTCATTGTATGGTGTTCTTGGTCTGTGTGTTGGAATAGATGCCACATGAGATTAGGAAATGTATAGAAACACAGTTATTGAGTAGAAGTGATTGTTACAAAAATGGATTAGAAGGATTATCTCAAGCCACTACAGCAGCATCAATCTGCAAAGCAGCAGAGGGTTTTCTTTTTCAGTTGTAACAATTCTTTATTGTTTCTGTCTCCACTCTCATTTTTGTTGTGAGGGTACAGAAAAAGCTTTTTAACAAGGCAAGTTTCTAGTCTTAAAAGGATTCTTTTTTTTTTTTTTAACAATTAGTGCTTAAGGGAAAGCAACCCAGGAAGGAACAGTATCGTTTTCCCCTTTGCTCCCTTCCCCCATGGCTTTTCCTTTAAATATGATGGAACCCTAATCTGTGCTCTTTAGAGTGGAGGTAATGAAATTACAGAAAGGATGTGAAAAGTATCTGTGAAGGTAAGCTAATACTTTCCATTGTGTAAGCCACAGATATACTGCCTGAAGACACATAATATGAGAAAGTTAAAGGAAAGAAATCAATATGAGGAAAGATTTTATTTTTCATTTAGGTTTTAGAGATCCATTTGGCCAAGAGTTACTTAAGAAGTATGCTTAGGCCCATTTAATTCTTTCTTAATTCAGCTGTATTTTCAAGATCTCTGACATGCCAAAGAGATAACTCATGCAACTGCAATGTGTTTATTGAGTGAGTGAGACCCTGCCTGGCATTTCTAATGCATTAAGTCCCAGGTTTGATATTCACTGCTGATAGGGAGATTTGCATTTGTGGGCTCCCTTTTTGTTACCCAATGCTGCCTCTAAGATGTCAGTTTAAAACTGTTACCACAGCACTTGGCTCTGATGAGGTTTGTTCCAAAGAGAGCTACGTAATATTTTAGAAACAACAACAACAACAAAAAATTAACATGTTTCGACATCCGTTCTGATGTTTGACCTTCTCAAATATTAAAACATTAAACAGATGCACCATTTTTTGGGTGCCTTTAGGAAGAAAGGGGGCCTTTTCATGTATTTCAGCCCAAATGAATCTCACTTTGGCTTTTTAATAAACTGGCAGTTTGAGACAATAGCACAAATTGTTTGGCGCTGTGTGTCTGTGTGTGTATTCCACAGACAGGTCCATGTGTATTCCACAAACAGGCACGTTTCCAGGCACTCAAGGGAGGTCCTTTAAGCTCAACAGCAGCCCCAGTTGCCCACCTGCTGTCCCTGCCCATCCTGCAAGTGATATATCCTTTTACAGGGAGGTTCTCTCAGCCATCTGGCAAGTTCTGGGGTGTTGTTTTTCATTCTGAGACTCTTTAGGGATGTGACCCTGCTGCTTTTTGAGGCTGCTGGCTCTTTGTTTTCAAGGGTCCCTCTTTTCTGCTCTATTTAATTTCATTTTATTTGGCCTGGTTTTGCCTTCACCTGAACAGGGAGCTCAGCCTGATGCCCTGAGCTCAGAGGACAGTGAGCTCATCAATCTCCTACCCTCAGAAATCCGTAGGCAGGGTGCCTGTTGTGGAATTACTTCAGCCATGGAACCCTGCAGAAGAATTTGTATTTAGTATTGACTACTTCAGTGGGCTGTCCCTTGAGCCTGGGACTCTGTGGTCCATATTTCACCCATCCATTAAAACAGCCTTGTTCCTGGCCATTGCCACAGCCAGAAAGACTGGAGAGATTTTGGCATTTAGGAGTGAATTTTAATCATAGAAGTGTTTGGGTTGAAAAAGACCTTTAAGCTCATCGAGTCCAACTCTTCCCCCAGCACTGCCAAGGCCACCACTCAACCATGTCCCCAAGTGCCACATCCACAGGGCTTTTAAATATCTCCAGGAATGGTGACTCAGTGACTTCCCTGGGCAGCCTCTTCCAGGCCTTGACAACCCTTTTGATGAAATTTTTCCTGATATATAATTGAAACCTCCCCTGGTGCAATTTGAGGCCATGTCCCCCTGTCCTATTGCTGGTTCCCTGGGAGCAGAGCCCAACCCCCCCAGCTCCCCCCTCCTGTCAGGGGGTTGCAGAGCCAGAAGGTCCCCCCTGAGCCTCCTTTGCTCCAGGCTGAGCCCCCCCAGCTCCCTCAGCTGCTCCAGCCCCTTCCCCAGCTCCGTTCCCTTCCCTGGACACGTTCCAGCCCCTCCATGTCTCTCTGGTAGTGAGGGGCCCAGAACTGAACGCAGGATTCAAACCCTGTCTCAGGGAATTATGCTTCCAATGTCTGTTCCTCAGGCCTCACTCATCCTGAGGGGATTGGCACACACATTTACATGGTTTGTCACTAGGTGAATACTTGCCTTTTAGCAAACTCCAGCCGATTTCCACCACAAAAGCAGTCCTAGATGTTTTAATGCAAACTGCCAGACCAAAGACATCTCATTTAGCTGGTTTATGTATCCCATCATTAAATAGAGGCCTGCTGGAATCAGGTGTGCTCTGTGAGGATGTGAATGGCCACTAAAGCTGCTGAGAAAAAGTATCTTAAAGTTCCATCTGGGATGGCCACTGAAATCTGTTCTTAAAATTGCCAGGTGACATGATTTGGCAAATGTATGTAGGGGGTATTTGTATATCCACACCTGAGAACTCCTCTGTCCAGGCATCCCAGAACCAGACACTGCAAAGGCTCATCCCATTGTGTGAGTCTGCACATGGACCCATCAATCCCCTGCAGAAGGAAGGGAAGCTGCTTTCCAGGAACTGGGAGTTCTTTGAGTCACCTCACGCTTCTCTTACAGAAAATAAGCTTTCCTGTATCATGCTTCGTCTTTTAACAAGAATCCTTAAAACTTTTTCATTGTTTGAGGTTGTAACAAAATGTGTCTCAGATGTAACCTCAGCGTGAGTGACAAATTTTATTCTGCTCCCAACTTCCCCCTTGATTTCAGCTGGACATCTTTGTCTCCAGCTCTTGTTGTGAGCTGCTGCACACCATTTAACTGTGGCTGAATTTCACTGCAGAGGCAGCTGCATATCAGTAGTAAGTGGCCCAATTCTTGTAAGGTACTTTATATTCCTTTAAGATGATATATAAAATACCAATATCTTCAGCAACTCTGATTTTTGCTTCTATCTCTTTAGTCTCCACAGTTATGCTGAAAATGTGTTTATAGATGCATCTGTTCTGTGTGTGAATTATCAAGAGACAATTCAAGTAAACTGAAAAATAAGATTTTTCCGGTCATTTGCCTCTCAAATATAGCTGTTTTATGTGATTTTGTTAAAAATAATAATAATTTCATTAAAAATAATGGTTTGTGAGTACCTGTTAAGGAATTAAACTCAGAGAAAAAAGAGAAATTAAATGGACTGAACTTATGAGCTTTCACAATACTGCTTCTTTTAAACAAAATGCCACATGCATATTAAAAATATGAAGCATGATATGCCACCACTGAAGCTGTTTGCATTTATAGAAGATCAATATGTTGATTGGTGTCTTGGCTTCTGTAGATCTGTAGAACAGCTTTGATGAGACACTGCTCACAGCCCAAGTCATGTTTGTGTTCTATTTGGATTCAACTGAATTGATTTTCCCAGTTTTATAGATACAGCTACAAATTAATGTGGGGGTTTTATACAGCTGAGACAAAGATGTTGCTTTGATACCATAAAAACATCTGGTTTGGACTTGGGAGTATTAAGGCAGCTTTTCTTATGCTTCCTTGTGTGTTTGTGGTTTTAGAATATTGTCTCATTCTTGGGTGCAGGAAAGGATGTCAGGATCATCTCCTGTGGAGATTAAATTTCATTTAAATCTCTGGAGTTTAGTCAGTCCAACCACAGGTTGGACATTGATGGGTGTCAGTGCAAATGAAAGGCTTTTCTACAAGATTCTCCTGGGATGTGACTCTGCATCCTTAGTGATTGATGGTTCTGCATCAGCCAGGGGTGGAATGCACACACCAACTTTTTGAAGTGGTTTCATGAATACTATTTGTTTTTCCAGCCTTCAGTCAGGAAGACCCCGTTTGCTTCCTTGGCTTTCTCCCTTGGTCTCTGTTTCCATCCCCTCCTGCCAGCCCCTGTTTTTCTGTGCCAGCTCCTTCAGTCTGACACCCTGGCAGGAGCCTGTTACCTGAAAACCATCTTCAGTCTCTTTGTACCTTTACTGTAACATTTATAAAGCACGTGTTCTGCACTGGAGGAATGAGGGGGGCACCAGTTTAGAGAGAAGAGACCTGGGCAAGAAGTACAGTGCAGCATCACGGTCTGCAAAAGCATCCAAATGTAAATTTTTGGATGAATTTTTTTGGGGAAAAAAAAGTTGTCTTCAAAGAACTGACCGTGGAATTCTGTATTCATTATCAGGGAGTCTTTTGGAGGTTTTTTGATCTTTCAAATACTAATATATATATTTTTTTTTTCCCACAGGAGAATCCCTTCAAAGAAAGGATTGTGTCATCTTTCTCTGAAGATGGAGAGGGCAGCCTGAGCTTCAATGACTTTGTGGATATGTTCTCTGTGCTCAGTGAAATGGCTCCCAGAGAGCTCAAAGCAATCTATGCCTTTAAGATCTATGGTACTGTGGGGAGGGGGGAGATGCTTGGGGGTGCTTTCTGTGGAGGAAGGAAATGAGTGTGAGAGTTGCTGGTGACCTCTGGTTCTTTTCTGGTTCAGATTTTAACACAGATAACTTCATTTGTAAAGCAGACCTGGAGCAAACCCTCAATAAGCTGACCCGGGAGGAGCTGACAGAAGAGGAGATCACCCTGGTGTGTGAGAAGGTGATAGAAGAGGCTGACATGGATGGGGATGGGAAGCTGGGCTTTGCAGATTTTGAAAACATGATTTCCAAAGCACCAGACTTTCTCAGGTACTGGGTTTTTTTAGGATATCACTGTGTAGTGTAATACAGGAAATGTCAGAAGTGAGTGTTTTGCTGGAGAATTGTCTGAGGATGACCTGACTCAGTTTATTTTTCTAGAGCATATTCCAGTTCTCTGCTCATGTGAAGACTAAGAGCTCAATGACTTTTGTGTGGGTTCTTCAGGAAAATATTTTGATCTAAGCTCAAATTCATATCTTTCTTAAGCCTATAGCAAGAATCCTTGTTGTCTGCATAGAATGGTGTGTAAATATTGTCTGCGTGTTACAAATATACATGGAAACACATTGATCTTTTGTGCTGAGCAGGTGAGAGCATCTTTAATGCTGATGTTTTTTAAGAACATTCAAGTGTCCTGCAGAACACAGAACAGTTTCTTTCTTTCATAAATGAGATTTCTGAGGGCAGACATTAAAGCAAAATGATCAGTAAAGCACGAGCACGTGATTCCTGTGAATCCTGAGAAACATCAGCTTTTTGAGAGGAGACACTACAAAGTTAATGCCTTTCATTCATACCAGGCATTCCTTGGCTAATCAGGTATGGGAACAGAAACCCTTCTAGAACAAGACACATTTCATCATTATGGTGAGGTGAGGCCCAGGAGGTGCTCTAGTGGTTTGTTTACAGATATTTCCAGCTAAGAGAAAACATTTTCTTTATTGTGCTGCCCACACAGAAGCTGCTGGGGTCAGGTGGAGTTTCCTTGAATCAGTCAAAAGGCTGTGCTGTGGTAGAGAACAGCAATCCACTGTGAGGAGCTGGAGGCAGACCTGGAGATTCAGCAGAAGCTGCAGTTACAGGAGTTTCCTGTGCCATGAGTGACTTTACTGCTGTGTTGTAGAGGCTGGCAAACTGCTGACTGAGAATTCCAAGCTGAGGATGCTGTGCAGTCCAGTCATTTCCTGAGGAAGTGGCAGAGAGGAGTGTTTGACTGTCATCATTATTCTTCTTTCCCAAGTTTGTGATGTTCTGAGAAGATGAGGAAATGAGTGGAAAGAACTGAGCATTCAACAGGGTATTCAACAGGGCAAGATGATGAGTAAGAAGAGGGATGGAGTGAGAATACTGGCCTTGTTATAGATTAGGTGAGAGAAAATAGAGTACCAACAAAACCAAAGGACCAGGCTACCAAGGGTTGGAAGAGCATCCAGTTGCTCAGTTTAAACACAGGTCCTTGGATCCACATTCATGACATGGTGAACTCCATGTTATCAAGATGTCTCCTGCATGTTCAGGATGGTGATGTGCATATTTAAGGCAGATATTTTTCACCCTTGGCTTCAAGAGAAATCTTAACTTCCCTCTTCTTTCAGGTTCAGGAGATCAGCTGAGTCACAGGATTCATCTGTGAAGTCCTCAGGCTGAAGAGCTCCTGATGACATAAAGAAGGGTTTCCTTCCAGCTCCTGGCCAAAGCACTGACCAGGCAGTTTCCATATGGATAGCAGCTTCTATATGGATAGCAGTATAAAGAAAACAATTTATTAGCTGGAAATATATGTAGAGAAAGTATTAGAATCCTCTTGAGATGCTGATGTTTCTCAGGGTACATCAATATGGTTTTTAACCTTTGGAGCTATATTGCAAAACAAAAATATAATAGAAAAAAGTCTCAGAGCTGAGAAAAGAATGTGTAGGTTCTCTGATCTGGTTTCTGTTTCATCCAGAATTAACAGCTGCAGGAGAAGAAGGTGACACGGTGGCAAGACCACTTTTATCCGAACCAATGGAAGACTTGATACCTCTGCCTTATTGTGGTTTACTGTTCACTTTGCCTGTATAAGTTTGGGGGGTTTTTTCCAGGATATTCTTAGTCATATTTTTCCTGTGTGCACTGCATCACTGACTGACATATTTGTTAATACTGAACCTCCTGATCTGAGGAACTTACTCTCATTTTTAAAATACTGTGTAAATGTTGCATTCTAAGCGAGACAGTGATTTTGGGATGGGAATCATTGAAGTTTAATTGCCACACCAGGGACACCCAGGTCTGATGGGGCCTCTCTGGCAGTAGCCAGGGCCTGCCAGTTTGTGACAGACTGTGTGACATGGGACAAAAGGGCAATTCCTGTAGCTGATCCCTCAGCACAGAAAGCAGTTCCTGTTCTTTGGGTTCAGTGGTGCCGTAACAGTTGGACACGTTACCTGTTCATTTAATGAGACATTGCTTTATTATCCCTTTCTGAATTAATCTCCAGCTCTATTCCTGGCCTCTCATTTTCCTTTCTTTTCATTCTCCAGCTGTAATGTCCTTCTCAGGGGTAGCCATGGGCTGTGTGCAGCCACAGGCAGGGCTGTGCAGCTTCACTGGGTGATCTAATACAGAGCATGCAAAGCTCAGGAAGTGGCTTAACACAGATCACCAGCCCTGTTTGCTGGGGTGAACTTACCCTGAACAGCTCCTTAATGTAGCAAAAAGATATGAAACCTAAAATAGTCTCTTCTGAAACCTTAAGCAGGTCCATGGAACAAATACCAACCCATCAATGTCCAGAGACAGTCATCATTTCATTTGGTTTTGCACAACTCCACTTCTTGTGCCCAGTTGAATGTGTTCCAGAATTTAAATTCAAGGAAGCCCAGGAGTCTATTGATTTATGCTTCCAGCTGCTCAGCTGTGAAAATTGAACACCTAGGAAGCAAAGCAGCAGCCACACTGAGAACGATTGCCAGGGAGCAATTGGAGTGCTGGGAACCTCAGGTTTCAGAGATTTTGCTGTGAAGCGATGGGCAATCGATATTTAGGAATATCTGATCCCAGAATACCAGACTGGCACCTGGTATAGGATCCTCTTGGAAATGCTGAATAACTTAACAAAGCCTCAGATGATTTTTATTTGTGGTAAAGGATTTCTTATTCTGTTCTTTGCCCTTTTGCCCCACCTAAAGCCACTTCTTCACATCGTAAAAGGAGGAAATGCAGGATTCAAGGCAGTTAAGTTTTGTCCCCAGTTCTGCCACTGCTTGAGCAGGTGATTTGTGCTGAGCCACAGATCATTTTTTCTCTCTACTGCTATATGGGACCAGGTCTTACCTGTCTTCTGATAAACACTGAGGGCTTTTATAATAGGAACTGTAAATTCTCATCATCATTAACATGAGACCTGCAGTTACTGAGGAGGAATATCTTCTTTGTTCTGTGGAAAACCTTTGAAGGCCATGTTCTCATACCAATGTGCACTCAGTTTTGAAGCACTTTTTTTACACAGCTTAGGGTGTTGGTGTTTTTCAAGCTGTCCTGTTATCCTACACAGCAGGTGCTAATTTTGGCACCACAACCCAGCCTTTGACTTGGTGTGAGCTAAAGTTCATGCCTTGTACATTGCCTGATTTTCCTCATCCCTCCTTTCTCAAACCTTTATTTATGACCCTGTGTGGGTTTAATCTCCCCCAGACATACTTTGTGCTGCTGTCAGGCAAATGAAGATGCAGTAAAGTCTGTTTTCTGATTTGTGCTGCTGTCGTTGAGGAATCCCTTTCAAACTGGAAGCAAACCCTGTTAGTGCTGCCCAGGGGGGAGATCTCTGTGTTTGGCTGCTCCCAGCAGCCTGACTGAGCTGTAAATGATAAGGACACTTGCTAGTTCAGAAAATTTGATCCCAGGAGTTTTATTTCACTCCAAATTGTTACCATTAAGAAGCTGCTTGTAGTTTAATGGAAGTGTGAGCAGCCTGAGCAGTGTTCTGTTCTACAAGACTGGTTACGTTTTCCACAGGAAATTGTTTTATAAATCAACCTGGAAGTTTCAGCCTATTTGAATGCCTGAGGGTGAAACATGCTGTAACAACAGGAAATGGAGTTTAAGAGGAATATGGCATTAGGAATACCTGGGAGCTGCCAGACAGAGAAACAACAGATTAAACAAAATGATGGCATTGGAAATGCAGCATTTCTGAAACCTTTTGGGCCTTTACCCAGACAACAGATGTTGTGACTCCAATCCTACCTGAAGTTTTCTTATAGGGAATGTGCATCTCATAAGACCATCCCAATATGCAGATTAATTAGTTCTTAAGCACTCAAATTGGAGCTCGTGACAAATTGGCAAGAGATGCTCAGCAAAGAAACAGGGGAAGGGAATAATTTTTATCAGTATTTTTCAAAGAGCATTTCAGCTGCTTCTTAGGAAAAAGCTGAATCTTCAAAGGCCAAAAAAACACTCTAGTAAAAATAGAATTTTTTCCAATAAATAGATTTCCACTTAGGTGAATTTGGATGGAGTTTTTTTTAAGGAGTCATGCCCAAAATGTTTTCACATACAACACTACAGATTTTGTAGTTCCTAGATATTGCCTAAGAGGGAGTTAAATTTTTAAGAGTTTGGATTAATATGGGCCTCTAGACATTTCTTGAGTTGTGAACAAGATATTTATAATTCTTTTTTTTTAAAAAAAAACCCCTTAGTTCTGGTAAGCTCTTTGCATCACTCTCTGCTTTCTGTCCCAGTCCTTAGGCTGGTGTGCCAGGCTGTGTCCAGCACATCTTTCACTGTCACCCAGATTGAACCAATTCCTAGAGACAAAGTCCTGAGGGACCACGGGGAATGTAAAATTTTATCTCCTCCAAATACATACCACAAGCTTCCTTGAGTGAATTTCTGATCCAAATCTAATTGCTGTAATTAAAACAATTTGGTAAAACAAAATCCCAAAACTGTACATCCAGAGCTTTTCAGCCTCTCAAATACTCCAAACTTTTAAGGTTTTCTTTGAGCATGGGCAACAGAATTATAGAATTTACATACAAAAATACATAATAATCCCTTCTGATTTCAATCAGTCGAGAAAGAAACATCCAGTTTATCCTGCCATGACACTGAGCAGAGATTGCTGCCTGGAGACAGTGAGGTTTTAGGCATGTCTTCCTAAAATTGTCTCTCACTGGCCTGCTGAGATGCTCAGGAGCTCTTCTGAGAGCTGATGGCAGTGGAAAGATGTGCTGCTTGCTGGTCTGCAAACAGAAAAGGGATAACAACCAGCATCTCTTTGTCCCAAAAAGAGAAACAACAACTTCCCCTGCCTAATTTGTCTTGTTTAGGAACCCAAAGGCTGTTCCAAAGCAAAAGTACCATTGGGAAACATTTAGCTCTGCTCTATATCCAATAAATAGGTCAATTTGCACTTGATTTAATGCAGGGCTGAGCTCAGCCCCCTGAGCTGACACTTTCAGAGATGGAATTTTCTCCCATCATGTTTAAATCTTCTCAGAGTGTGAAAGAAGAGAATCCCTTTCATTACACAGCACCTTCCCTTTTGTACTTGAGGAAAAATATTGTGCATAGTGGCAAACATGTTTAAATCTCTTAATCTTTTTCTTTCTTTTGCAGTACTTTCCACATCAGAATCTGAAGATGTTTCTGAGAGCCAGTGTTATCAGAAATGACTTTGCCAGTCCAGCCTTTCTGAATCTCAGGCACTCCAGGGGTTCCTGTCCTCTAATGAGGACTTCTCAGAACTCAGCAGAAAGTACTGAAGTAATTCTGGTCCACAAGGAGACAGAAGCATCATGTGTTCTACAGGATACTTGGAACAGTCACATTTTTATCTTCACTGCTGGCCAAGCACTCTGGCAAAGATGGGTGGTAGTTGGGTTGTGGTTTTTGGTTTTCCCCCCCCCCCCTTTTTTTAAACCGTCAGAATCAGAATATTATTAAAGGTATTTCCACATAGTTTTTATATTTATGAATATTTAATACTGCTCTTAAAAGTGCAAAAAAAAAAAAAAAGAGAGAGAGAAGGGTTAGCTTTGGTGTGTTTTCCAAGAGGATTTGAAAGAAAGCACGGGCCTTAACTAATGAGATGCCTCTATCACTGTGTTGGACAGCTGGGGGTCTTGCACGGAAATTCTCTGAGGGGAAAGAACTGCAGCCAAGATCAAGCTCCCAGTGTTGAAGACAACCACAGCCCAGGTTTGCCTTTCAGCCTCTGAAATGGCAGCTGCTGGGTTTGGTGCTTACCTTCAACCGGTATTTTCTGGATCGTGGTGTCCTTATGAAACTTGAAACACTTGCCTTTTGTACATGAGATTCCTTCCTTCCCGAGGTCAGTGCTCCAACTGTGTCCTTACTCCAATGGGGCTCCTGCATTTTACTCACTCTGTGGGCTGGTGATGTCGAGTGGACGAATATGATCCCCTGGAACTCATGAAGAAGTTGAAGAAGCACAGAACTCCTCCTAAGGACATGAAAAGACATTTTCTTTCTAAACCAGCTATGCAATCTTTCCCATAAAGTGCATGAATGCAGCTCTATATTTCTCTTCCCCCTCCAGCTGGAAATCAGCTAGATCTTTCTTTTTTTTCCACTTCCAGTATTGTTTGGGTACTGGGGCCTGGAGACAATCATGTGTGTATTAATTACTGTTCTAACAGTCAATAGAAGGGCTCTGTCACCTACATGGCTTCTGTATCAAAGTCATCACCATTAAAACCTTTGAGTCATTCTCTTGTGCTTTGAGGATTTTTGAGGCTGAGCACAAACTAATTTGTTTGCTGGTCGTTATTCCAATGACTGTGAAGTTAAATCTTTCAAAGGGTGAAATGTGGTGTTCTTACTGAAAAAGCTGCAAGAGAAATTAACCTTTTTTTATCATTTCTGTAGGGATGGTGATGCTTATCTACCTCAGAAACTTCTGTATGGTGAGCTTGCAGGGTATTTGCTGTTCATGTTTACACACTGTGCATAAAGAAGAAGTATTTATCTAGTAGCATGGTTGTACATTAAAAGTGTCAGTGGAAATTCAGGATTTTCAAGGTGATACAGGACAGACTTGCCTAAGGTAGCACAGTGAAAATGAAACTTGTATGTTAGTAATAACATTTATTTTTAAAATATGTTTCGAGTGATCATATTCAGTCATGTTTTTAGCACTTCAATGCTTCCTCCTACCAATTTCTGTTTAGATAAAGGAATCAAAACCTGAATTCCCTTACCTAAGTTAAAATTAACATAAATAAGTCCTGATATTCAGTTCTGATTGAGTAAGAAGATATTCAAGCCTCGGTGTTTTTCATTTTGAGAAGATTAAATTAGATGTTTTGCTTGAATTAAACTGTTTGCATGACATTGGTATGAAGAGGAATTATGTTAAAATTACTTCCTATTTATTGAAATATCAGCCTAATTTTTTTTTTAATTTCTTTCAAGATACACATTGAATCTCTAAAGCCTTGTGAGGTGTGTTTTTCTGTCATGTTTAGGATGTAATTGTAAACTACCAGGTTGCATGATTCTGGATCAGATTATTCAGACCAAAAGGATCTGGTGCTGATGACATAGGTCAGTTCCTTTTGACATCAATGCTCTTCTTCTATATCTTAAGATTTCTGTTAGCTAAATTCCTTTTTTCCTGAGAGCTGTGTGTCAGTCCATGGTTAGGTCATCCTCCCATCTTAAAGGAAGACCTCAGTTGCCTTGGAATGTGCTCAGTGTTTCCCTGTGTCCTCCCTGACCTAAATGTCACAAAGCACTTGAAGAGACACTTGAGTTTGCAGCCAGATGTGTGACCTTGGAGTCATCCAGCTGAGCTGAGAAACAAAGAGGAAAAGAAATCAGGACTATCCCTGCCCACAGTTCAAGCAGAATTCTGGCAGGTGCTGCAGACACATGTGCACAGCTGGCCTAACTCCCTTTGGTTTTTTGACTTTTGTTCATCTCCTGGGACAAAAACCGGAGCAACATCGTGTGTTCCTGGAGTTTGAGAGAGATATAGACACTAAGTCCTTGCAGAGAGAAACAGCACTGCCTGGTGGGGGGTGAGTTGTTGCAGCACCTGGTGGCAAAGGTAAGGGAGAGATTCCTGAAGCAGCTTTGTGTTTGCACTTTCTTAATTGCCTGCAGTTGGAGGTCTTAGGACTGAAACTTTTCTTACAGCAAGTGTTGAGTGAGCAGCAGAGCAGCATGAGGAATTTAAATACAAATCCAATCCTGTTAGGAGGGAACAAACCAGCTGTTTTTTTGCAATAGCATTATTGGCAGGATCCAGCAGATTCACTAGCAAGGCTTTCTTCAACCAGCCTTACTTACTCAAAAAGGACTATCAGGCCATTTAGGAAGGAAAAGAAACAGGGAAAGACATTTAGATTTAAAACACTTTTGGATTTGGTCTATAAGCTAGAGGACATACATTTCGTAGTGCAAAAAAAAGGTCAAATATGAACAGACATTTCTGTATTTGCCTTCAAAAATGGGCAAAGAGAAAGGAAACCCATTACCTAAAGCCTCTATTAGCTCTGTGTGTGTGTGTGATCTCGTTTATATACACTCAGAGCATCTTGGGGACCAAAAGGAGCTTGTGGGAGTGAATAAAAAAGTGTTGAAAAGTAAGTAACAACCGAGTTATTTTAGCTGATCATTATTTTAAGGAAATATTGCAGGCCAGGATTTGTAACAGCCTGCAGGTCAAAATCTGATCTGCATTACTTCCATATTAATCTCCAGTAACTCTGCTGACTTCAGTGGAATTAACTCATGTCTGTAATTGGATCTGTGTTGGGGAAAGTAGCTGGGTTTTTGCTGAGGTTCTTTGTGGCCTCTCATGCCCTTTTAATGTAACCTTAAAGTGCTGAATGCTCTTTTCTTAGCCAGTAACCACAAGCTCCTCTTTGTCAACAGGCTCAGCGTTGGAATCTCTTGCAATCTCTTGCAGGGGAAGAGGAACAGCCTCCTTTCCTTTTTTCCCCAGGGCTAATTTTCATCTCCTTGTACATGTTAGAGGCACTTATGATGAAACCTCACAAGGTGGCACCACAACTTCATTTAACTGTTTAAACTTCCCTGCAATACAGGATATGGTATAGAATCTATGATGCCACAAACAAAAATGTGAAAGCTGTGGTTAATTACTGATTTTAAGACTGCACATAATGACACAGGAAGTTTTGTGTGTCTCAACAGCATATTAATAGAAAAGTGCTTTATTCAAGTCCCTGAAAATCGAAATGTACGTCAGAAAAATTTAAGAGGGATTTTCTTGTTGAAAGTATAAAAACTCATATTCTAGACACCTGAACAGATTATGATCATATCCTGAAATAGCAGAATATAAAGTAAGATAGAGACAGAGTTTTTGTTGTGGAATGAGAAATATTCCCGCTCAAGATCCACAGTAAATCAGTTTGGGCTGAAATAATAGCAGGAATAAAAAGTTTATAATGTTATTGCCCAGTACACCTCGGCTGGGACAGACAATGGACTGAAATTTGATGAGGAAGACATTAAGGGTAATAAAATTATAATTGCTCATGTCCTTATTAAGATGTTTGTCCGAAACAGAAGTACAGGACACAGTGAACAGATGTTCTCTTTTTCTGTCTGCATCATTTTTGCAGCTTTGGGTGTGACTATCAAATTCTGTGGTGGGGAAAAGGCAGAGACTGCTCTTGGCAGGATTAAAAGAGCCTCAGCATTACAGATGAAAGTGCCTTTATTTCCCTGGAGGTTCTGCCGTTCCTGTCTGTAAAAGGCATTTCCCAATCTGAACTCCCAATGATGCTCCTTTTGCTTCCACTGTCCCTCCTTTGCAGGAGCAGTGACCAGCCAGGTGTGGCAGCCCTGGGAGCTTTGCTCTTGCACTGGAGGCTCCTCCTTCCCTCTGGTCTTTCCCAGTTAAGATCTGCCCAGATCCAAGTGTTTTTACAGGTAAATCCTTGACTCCTGTGTACCCATTTTGCACGCACAGGACTCCTGTGCTGTTGGGTGTGTGCTCTCCAGCCCTGCAGTAACACACCACCCTCTGTCCCCTCCTCTTCACATGCAGATTGAGGCCATATGTGCCTGAAAATGTAGGACAGAGTGTTTTAACCCTGCTAAAGAGGCTTGTGGGCACCGGTCCAGCCTCCCCCCTTTTTTACTGTAACTTTTCTCCAGTGAAATCAGTGGATGTGGCAGCCTGCCAGGAGCAAGGCAGCTCATTGCTGAGGGCTTAGTCACAGCTTGGGCAATTCAGCACAGACCAAGCTTCCTCTGTGCTCTGCACCCTGGCAGGCTCTGGGAATCGGTGGCTGATGGCTCAAGGGGTGGGAACTGAAGACTGTTCAGGCTCTGTGAGAGATGGAAAACAGATTTACACCAACTGGTATTTTTACTGTCTCGTTCTTCACGAGACTCTGTGTGAAACGGAAGAAAATATCCAAACTTCATATGACAGATAAGTGGAGGGGAATTACAAACTGGTAATTAACCTCTGGTACATCCCTGAAGCCTGTTCTGGTCCCTCATGTACAGCTCTGAGCCAGCAGGTACAAGGTGCTTCTGTTTACTTGATGGTTTTCAGCTCAGTCTGAGAAAGTATTTCTCTGTCCAGAAGTCAGATCCAGCTTTTTCCCAGACCTTCCATCCCCAGTGGGTCTGAGCTGCTCCTCACACCACCAGCACTGAGAGTGAATCCATGCTGATCACTTTTTTAGCAATCTGTACTCAGGGTTACTTCAGTGGCATTTAGAAATATATGGGTATCCACCAGATTTTTGCCCCCTGTTAAAAGGAAATGATCTCCTACTTAGACATCTGTTCATGGAATCACAGAATATGCTGAGTTGGAAGGGACCACAAGGATCAGCAAGTCCAACTCCTGGCCCTGCACAGGACATCCCAAGAATCCCACCCTGTGCCTGAGAGCCTTGTCCCAAAGCTTCTTGAACTCTGTCAGGCTTGGTCCTGTGGCCACTTTGTCCATAATGACCTGGAGAGGAAAAAGAATAGTGATATTTGAACCAAAATGAAATTTCGGGTTTTCGGAAAATGATCATGCTGCCTTTTTTTTTTTAACTTCTTTTTTAAATTTTTTTTTCTTTGTGCATTTATAAGATATAAAATTCTGTGTAAAAAACCCTGTAGATTCAGAGAGAATTCCCTCTAGGAGGAGTTTGACACTTTTCTCTGCCTAAACAAAGGAGTTAATTGGTGTGTATATTCACAGAAATAAACTAAAGCCCAGGAAATTCAGGCAGGCTTTTCATGTGCTTAAAATTTTTCATCTCTTTTATGGCAATTTTAGTGGCTACTGTTCTTCTAATGATACAACCAAATATGATAAGGAAATGTAGATAAAATTCCCTACTGTAACTTCACACATCCTCATACTCACAGTAGCATTAGAATTTACAGTTTTACAAGTTCCTCTTACTACATATCTTTAAATTTTGGCTTTCTGCAGAATTTGCTTGCAGACATTCCTGGTGGAATGACTTAATCCCATGTGACTAATTCTCAGTGGTTTTTCCATTTCCAGTTTTCTCCTCTAACTGGAAAAGCAGAGGGAATACTTGGTGTCCAGAGAAGTTTGTGTGCTTTGAGGTCTTTTCATTCCAAGAAATCCACTAATTTCAGCAGTGGGTTATTAATGCATTAAGCTCAGCCTGATTTGCTTAGAGGAGAGGGGTTTTTTTCTCACTCTGATAATTCCTTACTACCCAGATATCCTTGGGGGCCTGATCTCCACAA